ACAGCCTTTCTTTATGGCCCGCACTTTCTGGGTATTAACCCTAAAGCTAAGGGAGCTTTGTTTGCTCCCAGGTCAGAGACACCCTCCAGCGCCTTCCCTTGAAGCGCTGCCTTTCTGCCTTACACACCTCGGTCGGCATCCGCACAGAAGGGACCTTCTGAGCACGGTGTGAGGCAGGGGTCCGGACGAGTCAGTCTCAGTCTACCCAGTTCATTCAGAAACACTGGCTGAAAAGATCATTTCCACTCCGAGATGGGCTCCCTTTCATTTCTTGTTTTATATCTTCTGGATTGCTGGAAGTGATTACAATCCTGTATCACTTGAATAAGTATACAGGTACATATGTTTACATGTATTAATACACGTGCAAAAGAACTGGAAATGTTTAAATGTCCATGCGTGGGGTCAGATTAAATAAATTAGGATTCCATGGAGATGAAAGGCCCCCATGACCCCTGGAAGCGCTGATCTGTGCGCACAGACTGAGTGCTCTCGGGGAGGCGCTGTCAGTTACAGGACGGGAAGATGTGAGTAGGAGAGTGTAACAAAATGCAGCCTTTGTGAGAAGCGCGGCTGTGGGATTCACACCTCGCACGTCCATGCATCAACTCTCCCTGCAGGTGCCCGGAGCAGAGAATAGAGAGGGGACTTGGAGGCAGCTCAGGGCAGACTCTGTCCCCGCACGTGCTTTTACAGAGCTGGAACTCTCTTTTCACCATGTGCATGTGCTGGGTATTGAAGTAACTCTAAGCCAGGCATGGTGGTGCCTGCCCACAGCACTTGGGAGACCAAGGCAGGAAGACTGAGTTTGTGGCTTATTTGAGGAGGACACAGAGGGCTCAAGGCCAGTCTGAGCTATATAGATAGAGCCCATCTGAAAAACACACAAGCACAACAAGCACATTTCCTGGAAATCCAAGGGCTTTTCAGCTTCCTGTCTCTCTCCTTGTCCTTCTAGCGCGTCAAGGTCACTCCCACACCCACCTCTCCCGCCGCCCTGGCCACATCCGGGCACCTGAGTTATAGTAGACATGACTAGGACCACACAGCTTCACGCATCGTACAAATGTTCCCAGAAACACAGCTGCTACTTTTGCTTTTGCTCGTTCCCCTTGCAAACAAGTATCCCAATTCAACCTCCTCCAGCGAAATCTGCCTCTTGTTGTAGCAAGTTATGTCCACTTGGACGTCTGTGGCCCCTTCGAGTGCTATTTGCTTACCAAGAGCTCCTTTTCCGTTTGAAGCCCATGGGCTGGGGGGTGGAGGGCCCAGGCTGTCAGGCTCCTCTTTCCAGGCACGAGCCCTCGTCCCAGAACCTCGACTCCCTGGGGATGGTGGGCGGGGATGTGTGATGAGTCCACCACGCACACCGAAGGCCAGGATAAAGCTTCTGTAAGGTGGGAGAAAAGGAAGGCCTACCATACAGGGTTGTGAAATGGCCCTGCCTTCCGCTTTCCCACAGCGGAGAGTGAACACCCGACACCCACAGCTTAAAGGAGGGGAGGGTTACTTGACCCATGGTCTTAAGGGGGTCAGTGCATGGTCAGCTGGCTCCAAGGCAGGAGCACCGTGGTGGAAGGAAGTGTAGAACAAAGGTGCTCAGTCCATGGTGGCCTCCAAGCAGAGCAGGAGAACAGCACCCAAGAGGAAGGAGCTGGGACCAGGTACAGTCCCTGAGATGACACCCACCCAGACACATCCAGGAGTGTGCCGCACCAATTCCCCTGTGGACATCAAAGCAGACCAAGCTGACACCTCACCCTGACCACCAGAGTGGCTGAAGGGAACGAAACCAGGCTCCCGCCCTGGACTGCACAAGGTTGAAACCAAGGCAGTGGCCGGGCGGGCTCTTAACTGGAGACTCTAGGGGACAATCTGCTTCCAGCTCACCCAGGTGGTCGGCAGAGTCCAGCTCCTTGCAGCCGCAGGTCTGTGGTCCCATGTCCTGGCTGGAGGTCAGGTGTGGAATGCTCTCTGCTCCCAGGGTCATTCCCGGAGATTCCACCTTCAACCCAGCAATGGTGAATGGACTTTGAATCCAACTTCGCTTTTGTGGCCAGCTGGAGAAAGCTCCATGCTTTGAAAGGGCTCAAAAAGTGAAACTGGTCAGATAACCGCTGTGTCTCAACGCCACCAGGCCAGGACTTTAATCCCCAGTGCAAAGTCCTGCACAGAGGCACTGGGTTAGATCTGAGTGTGTGGGGAGTCCTTGGAGCCCCTTAAGAGCTGTCCACTGCCCCCCTCTTACATCACACCCCTCTCTCCGAACTTGCCGCCTTCTTCCAAGTTCAAGGAAAGGAGCAGCAGACACTGAGGCAGACAGACGCAGGGTCTGGCTTCAGCCCTGACGCAGGCTGGGGCAGCAGTAACAGCCCCTGCAGCCAGCATGACCTAGTGCAAGCCCCTCCCCTCCGAATCCTTGGACTGATCCACAAGAGGACATCTCTGGAGCACCCAGCCCAGCGCCTGGCACAGGCCACACTCAGCTGTTGTGAGCATTACGCCCACAGTCAACGTGCTCTGGAGCCATCTGCACGACCTTCTTCTGAGGAACATTTTCCTGTTAAACACCACCCCACCCTCGCTGCGCTCTGCACGCTGTTCAGCTGGCTCTTCCCACCTCTATCCCCCGGCTGGCTGGACGTAAGCTCAGGGAGCGAATCCAGGAGGCTTCTCATCTCACACCGGCAGCCTCAGCTCCACCTGTGCTACACCTCAGCTACCTGGGCTCCTCTTAGATGTCCAACAGGGGCTCGGTTGAAGCAGTTCCCTGTGAGCCCATGAGGTGGCAGCACAGGCAGGCCTCAGAGCGGGAATCCCATGGCTTCCAAGGCGGGCCGCCTGGACTGACCTGTGGTTCAGGGTCCCCAGTGCGGCCTCACAGCCGGAAGACAAGTTCCTGCCTGTCCCGGCACACAGGAGCTGCAGCTCTGCCATGGTGGCAGGCACTCGGGACGCCTGCGTGACTCCCTCCTCATCCCAAAGAGGAAGGAAGTGATCACTTCCATCTCTTCTGCACCTAAGAGCAAAGAGCCCTGTTGTACTGGTGAGCCAATTCAGAAGAGAACAATTAAGTAATCTGGTCACAGACAATGAGAAACAAAAGATCTTCTAAATTTTATCCCAGGAAAATGTTAAGCCTCTGAAGAAGTCACAAACCCCACAATATTCACCACACTTCAAACACCGTGAGTCTTTCTTTCTCTGCTCCCTTTTATTTAGTGGGGTATTTTCAACACAAAATGCAGACACTGGCATGTACCATCAGTACGTTCATTTGCCCGTCTGATGGTGAGGACATTTTATACGACCACCTGGCTGTTGTCACTCGCTAACAAAAGTACCAAGAACTTTCACCGTCACTAAATACCCAGTATTCATTCAAATTCCCCCAGCATTTTGTACAGTTGGTTTGTTTTATCATGATCCACGTAAGTTCCACACATCCAATTGCCTTTTGAGCTCATTCATTCTCTAATAGCCCCACTGCCCTTTTTTTTTTTTTCTGGCTCTCTTAGGGCGCTAATTATTTAATAAACTGGGTCATTTGTCCAGTACAACACCCCACATTCTGGAGTGGCACAGCACCTGGCCAACAACAGCACCAGGTAAACAAATGGGTTTTTGTTGTTGTTCTGGGGTGTGTTTGGTTTTCTTTGGTTTTGAGGCAGTCTTGCTATGCTGTTCAGGCTGACCTTGAACTCACTATGTAGCCCAGGCTGGCCTCCAACTCAATTCGATCCTCCCTCCTCAGCCTTCCCAGTGCTGGGATTACAGGCGTTCGCCACCACGCCCGGGAAAACAAATGGTTTTAATGAGAGCAAAGCAAAAATAGTTCAGTCCCCATAAGCAGAATACACACGCAGAAGCACTACCTGATCAATACCGGGCTGCCAGAGAGGCTCAGCCCTTGGCAGTCGGAACCTGGAGCTCCCCTGCCAAAGGCAGGACCAGAGGCGCCCTCTTCCAGGACTCTGCTTCTCTGAGAGATGTGTATAAGTACAAAGACCTCACCTGAGGCTGCTTAATGAATATCATGGGGGTTATAACCATTTTACCTTCTCAACATGTCTGAAATTTTCTGGGATAAAATTTACAGATTAGGCCGTGCAGGGTGGCACACGCCTGTGATCCCAGCACTTGGGAGGCTGAGGCAGGAGGATCGCTTCGAGTTCTGGGCCAGCCTAGGACACAAAGTGAGTTCAAGGCCAGCCTGAACCACATAGTGAGACCTTGTCTCAAAAAAAAAAAAAAAAAAAAAAAAATTACAGATTAACAAATACTTCTGAAGCGATAAGCATCCGTGGTGTCCAGAACTCCTAAACAGCACATTGTTCCTGCTGTATGTTTTGTCTTACTGCGACAACACAGAAGATGACTGGTACAAAACAGACACCTGCACTCACACCACGCAACATCAGCCCTGCTGACATTGCGTCACTTTCGCTCCCCAGGTCTCGCGTCCGTTTTCTGGAACTCGCGGGAGATGGAGACCCCGGCCCTCCCCCCACCCTCCTCCCCACCAGGACAGTGACACTGGGAGAGGGGCTTTCCCGGCCTCTTGTGGCCTTACCTTCCAGATACCTGGGATGCCGCGTCCGCTGATTTTCCCCACAGTCGGACAATCCCTCGCCTTCATTCACCGATCGAGGACCAGGCGTCCCACAACGTGGCCAGGCCAGCGACTCGACGCACTCGCTGGCCGGGAACACTACTGCCCCGTCGCCCGCCACGTGCGCCCCGCCCCCGCGCTCGCCCTCCCCATTGGCTCTTCCCCGACCTCGCCCCGCCCAGGCGAGGCTCCTCCCCCTATCCCTTCACCTTTCACCTCCTCACCTTATGCGGAGGCCGGAAGCTTCGGGCTCCGCCCACCGGGGGGAGGAGCAATTGCTAGCCATGACTCGCAATTATTGGTGACTATTGTCTGCCGATCATTGCAAAAGCGATCACGGATTGGTTGAGTGGAAGCACTGGGGCGGGGAAATCTGCGCAGAGGCTCGACGCAAGCCCAATGCGTGCGAAGTGACGGCGGCGACGGCAGTAGTGATGGCGGCTCGCTGCGTAAGGCTGGCGCGGCGCAGTCTCCCGGCTTTGTCGTTGTGTCTCAGGTAAGGGGCGCTAGGATTGTCCGGGATGAGCGGGGAGCAGCGGCTCCTCAGCACTGCCTCTCCTGCTCCGACCTTGTCCGGCCTCGGTCGTGGAGCGGTGCCCCGGTCCGTGGGGCAGCGGGGGAGCTGGGCATCCCGGGCCCGCGGCTCCCAGCGCCGGATGCGGACCGTTTCCGAGGCTGCGGGCGCCCGGGAACCGCGGCTCCTTTCCCTGCGGCCGTGCTGTGTGTGCGAGGGGCTCGGGAACGCACGAGCTCGACCGCCGGGGTCGGACACGCCGGCGGCGAGGGCCGCGGGCGCGTTCGGAGCGGGAGGTTTTGCAGCCCCCGCGTGCGTGCGGCCCGGTGCCTGCGGCGACACCGCGCTCACGCCCGCGAACCTCGCCCGTGCCCGGGCGCGGAGATGGGCTCAGTGTTGAAGGAAACAAACCAGGGAAACCAGGACTTGCCCGCGTCGCGTACCGAGGCAGAACCCGACCGGGCGTGGCCTGGACAGGAAAATCTTACTGATCAGGACCTGCTCGGGGAAATTCCGCGCGACCGAGGCACCTGTTGCCCAGTCTTCCACTGTGCCTGGAATCCCCTCCCCGCTCCGCCACCCCAGAGCAGAAGGGCACGGAGGAGGCTACTCAGACTAGTGGCGCCCCCACTCCGAGGGTCCCAGCGCCGGGCCCCTCTTGTTTTAAGTTGTGCTTTCTGGTGTCTGAAAGTCCTACCTCAAAAGGCAGTACAGCAAGTACTTAGTGTCCCTGTCTAGTCCTTCGGGGGTCGGTCTAGAAGCAAGTTATTAATGAGATGAAGAGAAACTGCTGTGGCAAACCGCGGGTAGAAACGGCGTGGTGGGAGCTGGTCTCCCTGAAGCCTCCTCATCGGGTGCGGGCGGGCATGTGAGGTGGAGACCACTTACAGTAACGGTGATCGGGAAAGAGGGGAGCACTAGCTTAATCAATTGTGGGCGAGGTTCCTGGGATACTTGAGTAGAAAGGCTGCGACTCAGTTTCCCTGTGGGACACGGGCTAGCTGTGACTCCGGGCCCTGTTTCCTTCCCAGCCACACCTGGCACTGCTCCTAGACTTCTTTGTTGGCCGTACATCAGGAAAGGGTCCGCAGAGCATTTCTGACCTGCAGGAGAGCAGTGTGACTGTCAAGCCCAGGGGTGGGACCAACTCACAGAGAAGGCCAGTTTGAAGCAGTACTCTCAAAGCTGGACTTGGTGGTGCACACCTGTAATCCCAGTGCTTGGGAGGCTGAGGCAGGAGGATTGCCACACGACTTCAAGGACAGCCTGATCTACATAGCGGGATCCTTGTCTCAAAACAAAAGGAAAATACCAGTACTATCAATTTTTTTTAGATTCCTAGCTTTCTAAAACCTGGAATTAAAAATATAATAAAAAGGTCATTCCACCCACTTGGTAACAGATTATAATAGATATTTCCACTCCCTTCTGCAGGCCTAAGGAATAGGAGCATTCCTAACTTGTCTTTACAGAAGCAGATCATGTTTTGTATAGTCATGTGCTATAAAACGTTCAGTAGACCGCATGAAGGTGGTGGTCCCATTGGATTACCTTGTGACACCTTAGTGTTTTGTTTTGTTTTGTTTTGTTTTGTTTTGTTGTCTTTTTGAGACAGGGTCTGGCTATGCAGTTCAGGCTGGCCTTGAGCTCACTTTGTAGCCCAGGCTGGTCTCAAACTCTTAACAATCCTCCTGCCTCAGCCTCCCGAGTGAGTGTTGGAATTACAGATGTGTGCCACTATACCCAGCTAGTTTTGTTTATGTGAGTACACTGATGTTTGCATGACATAATTACCTAATATTTTGCTCAGGATGTATCGTCATTAAATGACCCGTAACTGTACAAAAATACAGTGACTATTTAAATTTTAAAACATAACAGTTTAAAACATTGCTATGAATCCCCCTCACTGTACTCCTGGCTTTGTTGTTTTTTTGTTGTGTTGTGTTGTTATTTTTTTTGAGATAGTTTTGCAGTGCAGTTGAGGCTGGCCTTGAACTCACTAGGTAGCCCAGGCTGGCCTCAAACTCACAGCAGTCCTCCTGCCTCAGCCTCCCAAGTGCTGGGATTATAAGCGTGTGCCACCACGCCTGGCTCACTCCCTGGCTTTGAGCGCACTCGTCCCATCCTTCCTGCCACTTTCTGCAGCTGTTGTGGCAGTCCTCTTTTGTGTCTTTAGTTGCACTGTTGTGGCTGCCTCAGTGTCCTGTTCAGAGCATTTCCCTTTCATGGTCACTTTGACTTTAGGGGAGAGCCAGAAGTCACAGTGTCAGATCCAGTGAATCAGGTGGATGAGGACACGCCATCATGTTTTTACTTGACAGAAATTACTGTAAACAGCTGCGGGAAGTGGCAGAAAGGGTGGGACAAGTGTGCTCAAAGTGAGGGGGAGATTCTGAGGGCAGTTAATGGCAGTGTCTTCTACTGTAATTTTAAACATTCACCAGATTTGATTCCACCTCATGCGGTTGCTCACTGATTGCGCTGCGGCACAATTAAGAAGCGCTTCCACTGGCCCAGGGGGAGGAAATCAGGGCTTCAAGGCTCTCTGGAGAATGATTTGTTCGGCCTTGTGCTTATCATTGAACCTTGTCATGTGGCGATCAGCTTGAACAACCCCTAAGGCACTTGCAGGCTTTGTTTTGGACCTCTTTGTAACCCCCAGCCCACATCTGTTTCATCCAAGCAGTTCTCCTTCCTCCCATGTAGCCCCCGTGGTCCAGCCTGCGGCCTGCAGCCTGCAGCCTGCCTGCTCTGCCCCCTCCCGAAGTCCTAGCCTCCTCTTCATCACTCTTAAGCCCCAGGTGACTGTTGTGTATACACAGAAACCAGGCTTTTTCTGCACATGCTCAGTGCTGTGTGGCCTGATCTCCGCCCGGTCCGTCTTTATAAGCGGTATCAGCCTGAGCCTGAGCATAGCGGCTCTGTTTCGGGGCAAGGCCTGGCCACCCGGATCTCAGAAGGCAAGAGAGCATTGGATGCGTGCGTCGGCTGCGGTGTGCACTGCAGAAGGCTTCCATAAATACAGTCTCGTGTCACCAGCGGGTACATTCTGAGAACTGCTCTCTCCCTGTGCAAACGCTGTAGAGTGTGCTCAGGCAAACCTAGGCGGTGTGCCCTGCCCCCCCATGGGCCACGCGGCGCGGCCGCTGTCCCCTGTGCACTGTGTTACTGTGTGTGCTACGGACCGAAACGTCGTTCTGCAGCATCTGCTTCCATCCCACATAGTCTCCTGCCTTTATTAGACCGGAGAAAATCAGTAGCAGATAACTTAGCATTGTCCCGTATCTCTAAAATCGCGCACCTGGCCGTAACAGGCACAAGGGGGGTGTTGGTACTGTGCCTAATGTGTGCACTTCGCTCCAGGCCCTCCCCGAGGCTGCTGTGCACCGCCACAAAGCAGAAGAGCAATGGCCAGGGCCTGGAGGAGGACACGCGGCCCAGCGAGCCAAAGCCCGAGCCTCCCGCCACGGACAAGGTCCTGCTAGAAGAGAAGGGCCGGTTGGAGGAGCAGCTCAGAGAGACCGTGGTAAGGACCGGGGCCACGTGACCATCCCGCATTTCTCTGGTGACAGTCCACAGCCGGAAGCATCAGCCGCTGTCCCCTGCCCAAGGTGGCAGAGGCTAGAACCCAGTCCGGCGTGGTTCTGGGCCTGCGGGCGGGATCAGTGCGTGCTGTGGGACTGTGGGGACTGCAGGTGGTCTTCACTGCGCCGAGTGCGTAGCTCGGCTCTGTAAGCAGCCGGGAAGGGAACTGGAGGTTGCGGGTGCAGGAGTTGGGGTGCAAGTGTGGGCATGTGCCGCTCTCCTCTGTGACTGGACGTTACTCCACGCGAAAGCACAGACATGGCACCATGGAACTCCCCGGGCATTCCAGGCTCCTGCGCTGGCTCTGTGCTGAGCTGCCGCAGCCCTCCCAGCAGTTGTGAGCGAGCGTCCCCTAGCCGCGTGCGCAGACGAGGAAGCTGAGGCGCAGAAAGGGAAGGGGAACTGGAGAAGGGGAACGGGGTTGCAGAGCCAGGCTGGGCAGCAGGCAGCCTGCAGGAAGCCTCTCAGCCACTGCTCTGGGTGCCTGAAGGCAGGCGGGAGGGGCTCGGTGAATGCTGAAGGGCGGGCTGCCCTGGTGGGCGAGCGCAGGGCCGATGGGAGGACGGCGGCAGCGCCCGAAGCTCCAGCCCTCATTTAGCTGGAGGGCTCCTTGAATGCGCTGCAGTGGCGTGGAGGGGTTACACCTCATGGGCTAAGGTAGTGATGGCAAATCTTTTAAAGACCGAGTGCCCAGACTGCAACCCAAAACCCACTTATTATCACAGAGTGCCAGCACTGCAGTTAAACCAGAACACTGAGGTTTTAGTTTAGAAAGAACGGCTGTTGCCCATGCTCGGCTGCTGGAGTGACTTGGGTTACATGGCACTAGGGCTCTGCATGCTATAGCGGCACACGTGCCACAGGTTCGCCACCCCTGGGCTGCGGCCTCAGCTTCCCACCAGGGTCCCGCCTCCTCACCCTCCCCACGCCCATGGGCGGGGCAGGGAGGTTCTGCCAGGAAACCAGTGCTCTTCCCAGAGGGTGCCAAGAGTGGGTGTCAGAGCACAGTGAGGACCTGCGTCCTGTCCCTGTCCCTCGGCACTGGAGGGGAGCGCAGCCGCCCCACGTCCCGACCCGCTGGCGCTCAGACGCCGGCGTCAGCCAGTCTTTGACTGTGCTGTTTTCCTCCACAGCCTCAAAAGCAGTGATAGATTTTATTTGTTCTGACTTGAAGTTTGTTGTATAATCAATTGTAAGTCAGGATGGCTTTTCTATGTATTTGTTCTGTATTTAATAATTCGGTAAATTTCTTTTTCCTTCCTTCTTTAGGAGAAATACAAGCGAGCTCTGGCAGATACTGAGAACTTGCGGCAGAGAAGCCAGAAACTCATAGAGGAGGCCAAGCTCTATGGTACGTGTGCATGCTGCGGTGCTGGTCCTGGGACGCAGCTGGCACGGTCAGGGAGGCTGCGCGCCTGTCAGCATCAAAGAACAAGGCGGGTGCGGGGCCCCCCTGCAGGGAGGGACCAGTTGCAGGGAAGGTGTCGGCGGAGGAGCAGAGGTGACATAGCCAAGGTCATACCCAGCAGAGAACACAGGAAGTGCGGCCCAGGGGTGAGGAGTGCTTTTACCGCCGTCCCTGTGGGAACCCTGGTCCACCTGCAGCCATGACGGTCTGCTCTCGCCGCCAGGACGGGAGCAGTGGAAGCTGTCAGAATCTGGCATGCCGTCCCCCGTGCCACCTGTCCCTCCCTGCCCATCTTACAGTGGAGGTCACTGAGGCTTGTTGATTTGCCACACAGCCGCTCAGTAATGGCAGCAGCATGGTGGCCATTCGTGGGCCTCTGTGGTGGTTGTGAGACCACCTGCGTGGCCACGGTCGCCCACACGTAAGTGGGAGGTGTCACGCCCTGTGTGACGGAAAGAGGGTGGGAGCTTAGCGGTTTGCCTGAGGGTAGATGCGGTCTCACCTCACCACAGCAGATCAGCGCCTGTGTGGTCGCCTCTGCTTCCTGGTGTCCTCCCTCCCTTCCTGGCCCTTTCGGGTGCAGTAGCAGGCCTCGTGCCCTTTGCTCTGCTCCCCGGGTGACTGCTGCCCTGCCCTGGGTCTCGGTGGCTATAACATTAAAATTCTAGTCCCCTGTGGCCAGATTCAAGGGCATGTGAAGGTCACTTTTCCCGCCCCTTTGCTCCCTTTCTTACTGGTGTGAGTGGTGCTGCCCTCACCCCCACAAGGCTTCTAGAGTTTGGGTACTCAGGACCCTGAGACTTGAGGGCAAGCGACTCTCCAGGTGTCCCTGGGGGGCGCAAGCCCGCAGTGCGCAGCTCTGGTGACCTGCACAGCTGATCCCCAGCGCAAACCATCCTCTCCCTCACTAGGCATCCAGGGCTTCTGCAAGGACCTGCTGGAGGTGGCGGACATTCTGGAGAAGGCCACCCAGAGCGTCCCGAAAGAAGCGATCCGAGATGAGAACCCTCACCTGAAGAGCCTGTACGAGGGGCTGGTGATGACCGAGGTACAGATGCAGAAGGTGTTCACGAAGCACGGCCTGCTCAGGCTGGACCCTGTTGGAGCCAAGTTTGACCCCTACGAACACGAGGCCTTGTTCCACACGCCCGTGGAGGGAAAGGAGCCAGGCACCGTGGCGCTGGTCAGCAAGGTGGGCTACAAGCTGCACGGGCGCACGCTGCGGCCTGCACTGGTGGGGGTAGCGAAGGAAGCCTAGCTGTGCCACGGCGCTGGGTCTGGTGTCCTTCGCTGTAACTCCTGAAAGGCGGCATCACCTTGTCTCCTGCGTGTGCACCTGTGCCCTGTGCCCGGACTGGCCGGAAGCAGGAGAGGGTGGCTGAGCAGGGGCAGGGCGGCGCCCACTCAGGCTCAGGAACTGACTCAGCATCTGCTCACGGCTGCTCTGTGCCACCACGCACTCATTCTGCACACTGAGGGCCAGGGCTGTGGGGGCCTCTGTCCCAAGTAGCGCTGTATCCACTCAAATTCCGGTGATTGCAAAGTATTTTGAACAAATAAAAGGTCTCTGGGAATTCTGTTGGCTGCCTGGCCACACCCTTCTGCACCTTGTCGCCCACGCTGCAGCCCCAAGTCACTGGCGCCCCTGCCCACCACGCGCTTCCCTGCTGAGGAAAGGACCCCTTTCTCGTGCTAAAAGCAATGTGCACTGCTGTTTGAGAAGAGTTCGGGTGTAACTGGCGTCTGCCTTTGGCTCCTCTGCGGAGACAGGAAGTGGGTGTGTGAACCGTGAGGCGCGTACCTTTACCTTGCTGTGACTGGGTCTGCCCAAGTCAGTGTCCCCCCTCCCCCCGGAGGCCCCGTTCTGTCCGTCACTGAGTTACCAACCACCTCAGAGTGTCCCCTTAAGGTGGGCCTTCTCAGAATGCCTGCATGCTTGGGACGCTTCGCACGTCCATGCTCAATTTTACATTTTTATTTAAGAGGGTTTGTTTCTTTTCCTACTTTCTGGTAACAGTTGAGTCCTTTGATGGAGACCTTGAGCCCAAGGCCAAGCAGGACAGCTCCTCCATGTCCCACCGGGCCCTGAGCAGCCTGGCACAGCCTTTTCCAGTGGAGCCAAGGCCACGGCGCCCTGTCTGGAGGAGGACTGGGCTGGCACCAGGCCAGTCCTCATTTACATTTACATTGAGGACCTGGGGAGAGGGTTGAGCGAGCAGGCAGCTGTCGCTAGTGAGAAATACAAGCCTCTGCCATCAGTGCAAGGACAGAAGGGCTGGGCGGTAAGTGCACCTACTGCCCAAGGGTGGGGCAGAGCCCCTGGATCTCAGTAGCAGTTTAGAAAGATGCAGTCGTGCCGTAATTAAAATCTTCCTTTGTTACTATTTCCAAACATTTCCATCTTTTCCTTTAAGCTGCCCTGAATTACTTGGTCCAAAAAAGCTCAATGAATGGCAGCTTAGCACACTGGTGGGGCCCAGCAGCCTGGTCCCACGGTGCCCATTCCTCTGCTGGGAACCCAGGTATCCACAGGGCGCTTGTCTGCAAAGGGGACCCGAGTGAGAAAGGCGATGGTGGCACTGGGTTCTGTGGACCTGTGCCCTCCCCCTTCCAGCCCAGCTACGCCAAGCGCAGACCCCATACCCATCAGCTCTCCACATCCACGCGTTCAACCAGCTGCAGAGCAGAAATAAAAACCAGGCCTATACTGATCGGACAGGCCTCTTGTTACCCCCGAACCCCAGCTTATGTACCCCACATCTCCCCTGTCCTGGGTGTTCGTTTCCAGGGGGACACAGGTTATGCAAACCATGTCATTTTCTGTAAGGGTTGGGCATCCCTGTGTGTCAGGGCCCCTGCCCCCTGGGACCAATCTAAGGGTGACAGCTCAAGGGGGCAGAGTGGTCTTTCTGTGTTTCAGTCATCTACAGTCCCCACTACCAGGAAGACGTCATGCGGACACCACATGTCCTGCTCCCTTCTAGTCAGCAGCTTGGCTGCCATGGACGATCAGAGCCAAGGATCTACCCACCTGCAGGGCTCTGACAACCACCGGCTCCCGGAGGACTCTGCCGCTTTCCACACTGGGGGAGCCAGCTTGGAACTCAAGTCCTGGGCGCGGTGCGGCCCACTCTGAGACGCAGGTTCTCGGGGGCGGTGGGAAGAAGCAAGCAGTGACGCTGTTTTGTTCTCAACCTCTTTAATATGTAAAAGGACAATAAAAACAGTAGCCGGAGTTGCAGCTTTGAATACATTCTTGGAATGCTGGCCTCCCGAGAGCATGGCCTTTTCTGACTCAAAGACAGAGTTAAGTTTGGGAAGGACCTCGCTCGGTGGGATTGTGGTAGCTGATTCATCGTGAGAATTAAATAGAAACATTTCAGGTTCTGAGCGAACAGCAGAGATGTGACAGAACAGCTGGGGCAGGTGGGACGACAGGCATCCGTCCTGGAATTACTTTTCCCTTGTAACACTAATATCTCAACATAAATTAATTATACATTCATTGTGGTGTTTTAAAACAGTCAAGCCTAAATAAATTCTTCATACCGTCAAAATACACACACTACAAACCTGCGGAAGCACATCTAACAGCTCTCGGCCTGGGCCACACAGGATCCTCTGCTTCTCAAGCTAGTGTAGGTCTGGCTATCACTTTACAGGAAAAATAAGACAGTCCAAACCTCTCCAAACTAGGATTCTGGGTAGAAAGTCAACCCGGGGACCCCAGGATGGGGAAGACAGGGGGCTCGCCGTCTTCGGCTCCCACACAGCTCAAGAACAGCAGCTGGACTGCACCCCAGAAGCCTCTGGATTTCTGACTCCGGAGGATCGCATGGGACCCAACTGCACCTGTGTTCGCCACACACTGGCTAAGACACCGTCAGCTGAGCAAGAGCCATCCCGGCACCTTTCGGGCTCCCCGCCAACCAGCGCTGGCGAACACGCTCACCCTGCAGGGGGCAGTGCAGGGCTGGTCCTCATGAGCAAGCCCAGAGCTCACTGGCTCAGGCATGGAGACAGATCCTGCGCCTGGCCGCAGGTCCGCCATGCACTTTACAGCTAAAGCCATCTGCAGTGTGTCTGAAATGTTTTATTTAATGCTGAAAACTTACCCTAGGGGACAGAGGATGTAAAAAGAAAAGGCACATAATCAAGTCCTTGGAAATGAGGAGGTGTTTTTCATTCTTCAGTTTAATGTATGTAACTTCAAGCCCAAATGTTCAGAGGTAAACAGGCTCTTGTACCTAAAGAGGCTGGGGCAGGCCAAGCATGGGAGGGAGGGGCAGGGTCTGTGGTCGCTCCAGGGGCCCTGGAGTGCGGTCTGAGCAGAGCCCTGAGCTGCAGGAAAACGAGCAACTTCTGCAGGTTTAGCAGGAAGGTACCAGGCGGGCCCTAAAGGTGCCTGGCGTCAAGCTCTTGGTTTGTGACTCCACGCGGAGCCAGCACGTGTGCGCTGAGGCTCATCTGGGCGCTCTGCCCTCACCAGTAGCCATGCACACTGCCCAGGGCTCTGCTCAGCTGGCGGGCAGCGGGTCTGGCCACACCCTAGTAATTCACTTAGCCTGGCTAACGTGGTCACACTTTTTCAGTGGGAAGGGTGCAGCTGTGACAGAAATCCTGAGGACGCGAACACAGGACTCAGCCATGTGCTCTCACACAGGGGCTTCCAAGTTTAGAACACACTACAGGGACAGCAGCATCAGGCACCTGGGAAACCAGCGGCCCCCACGGTCCTACATCCCTCCCCGATTGCCCTCCTGCTCGTGGCGACCCGGATGTTCCAAGGGAGGCAGCCAGGACCCCGGGGGAGAGCCTGGGTGCTGCCAAGAGTGCAGTGTCATCTGTGTGCAAACAAGGGCTTCCTAGGCGTCGCGTCTGCTGTGTGCAGAGGGCCCCACCCAGCCTGCCTCTGTAAAGTGCCACGTGCCGGGGGCAGCAGTGGGCTCAGAAAAGGGCGCCAGCAGCCCCACCTGAGAAGAGCTTGTGCCACCAGAGAAAAGCCGACAGCTTGCCGGCCCGGCAAGGGCACATCGCTCCCGGCACCCTCAGCAATAGCTTTCGCACCAAAGGGAAGAAGGCTCATGGGACACAAGACACCGTCCAGCTTCATCACATTCTCCAGATGGAGCTGCCGCGCCTCCGTCTCCTGAGATCCACTGTAAGCCCGCTGCTTGCAGAGGACCACGAGAAGACTTTACACCTTAAAAAAGGAACTCGATTTCTTTAAAAAGAGCAACACCGGGGAGCACCCCCTCCCCAAGCCATTGGCTCCTAGCTGTGGTGGCTGCCTCAGGACGCGTCCCGCGATATCCACCCGCTCTCGGTGAGGAACGTGAGGATGCGCTTCTTCAGGACTTTGTCCAGGTAGCTGGGCAGGCGGCTTTTCGAGGGGATGCCCTGCCGCTTCTGCAGGTGGTCCTTGATGATGATGGTCTTGACGGTCACATAGCGCGCCGGGCTCAGGTTCAGAGAGCTGCACAGCACCTTCTCGCGGTCCGACAGGAGCTCGAAGCCGGGCAGGTTCTCGATGGCCGCAAACTCGCCGTCCTTGCCGTCCTCCTTGCCCCTCTTAGAGCCCGCCAGGCTCTTGTTCTCCTTGCGCCGCTCCCGCTTGTGCCGCGCAGCCTCGTACTCGGCCGACTCCTCCATCTTGGTGATGCCATTGCGCCGGTAGCGCTGCAGCTCGCGGATCTTGGCTCGCAGCATCTTCTCCTTGTGCATGTTCTCGAACAGGTCGTCGAACTCCTTGCACGACATGAACTGGTACAGCGGCCTGAGCTTCAGCCGCAGCTCCTTCTCCTCCTTGGTGATCTTGCGCTTCAGCGCCTTCTCCTTCTCCTTCTTGTCCTTGCCCAGGAAGGCGGGCACCAGGTTATAGTCGCGCGCGATGTTCTTGCGGCGCTGTCGCTCCTTGAGCTTGCGCACGTACATGTCCACGTGCGCGCGCTTCAGCTCGATCTCCACGTCGTCGTCGTCGTAGTTCACCGAGAGCCCGCTGATCAGCGTCTCGGCATCCTGGTCGTACTCGATCTCATAGTCGTCCCGCAGCGGCATGTAGCCCAACTGCTGCTGCTCAGCCACCGAAATGTCAAGCGGGGGCAGTGGCGTGGTGAGGCTGGGCGAGAGGGGGCCCCCGCTGGGACACGTGTGGTCGGTGACGCGGTTGGGGATGGTGTCGGGGATGCAGGCCTTGCCCAGGTTCCCGTGGATGTACATGCTCACGTAGTGCTCCATCACCTCCTGGGGGGTCCGAGAAGCGCCCACATGCGCGGCCATGTCCTCCTACAGCGACAAAGGCTGGGCGTCAGCTTGGTTTCACACGCACCCCATTCACATCTCCACAAGGGCCTACCGGGAACACTGTCAGCCCCGGCGGTGCCCTCCCCGAGACACTCTGTGCCAAGGTCAGGCTCTGGCTGTACCCGGAGGCAGAGGGCCCGGGGAGGGCACGCCTACCACGAGCGGCACTCTGTGCTCCTGGCTCCTTACGGGGCACTGGCACCCACCAAGGCAAGCCCTCTGCCCTGGGGACTGTGTGTCCGGGCTGCCTGGCCTCTCGTGTGCAGACCACAAACACTGGCTCAGGCCCCGACCCAGCAGGGCACCCAGAACGGCAGGGCGGGATGCTAGCTTGGGTGCATGTCCCAACCCGGCGCTCTAGGAGAGCTAGCTGGCCCCTTTCCTAGGCAGTACATGCAGGGGACAGGTGCACACGGCACCTCCCACCCACGGAGCTAACCGCCGCTGTCGCAGCTGAACACACGCCTGCTCCTCAAGCAGGGAGCCAGAAACACGGGGTCTGTTAATGGGAGGAAACCGTCCAACTCCCTCAATCTTTTCCTTCTGCTAAGAGGCCTCTTCCTTAAAGTCAACCGCCAAAGCCACTTCAGAAAGTAACTGCCCAAAATGCGCACTCATTCTCCCGGCCACCACTCAGTGCCCGCCCCAGCCCTACCGGGTGGGGCGAAGCGCCCGGCGTGCTACAGGCGCTCAGGAGTGGGGCCCGCTGCTTTCTGCCCAGGCCCTGCACCTGAGTGCCGACCGGAGCCCAGCAGGCTGCCGCTGGAGAGCTGCGTGTTGTGGGGAAAGCAGTCCCGGCTCCAGGAACAGCGTCCCCACGCGACCCGGACCCGGGAGGGTTGGCGAGACTTCATGGAGCGGGAAGGCAGAGCAGTCAGACCTACTGGGGGATCTCCCGGAGGGTCCGGAGGAGAGGGCGGACAGGCACAAAGGGCAGGTTCTGCTCTGGCCGTACTTCCGTGATTCCTTCTTTCACAAGCTGCCAGCATCCCGGAAGCACTTAGCATGAACACCAGGCAAGCACTGTTCTGGGCAGGGAACACTAACCACGCGCGCCCCGAAAGGAGGCATGGCCTGTGCGCGGCAGCAAGCCCTTGCAGGGAGCGGCCCGTGCGCCTGCGACAGGCCAGCAGCGGCGGCTGACGGCACTGACTTCCCGTCTTCCCGCCTACAGTGGCCACGACCCAGAGAAGTGCCGGCCACATCTCACCAAGCGGATACAGGGCCTGCCCTGCTCCGTGCCAGACAGCAGGCCTCACCAGGGGCTCTGAGGGCAGCAGGCTTGGAAGCTTTCCTCCTCAGCATCAGCTGGTGCCCGTGACCGAGGACTGCCGGGTGGGCTATGACGGCCTCAGAGGCCAGCGCCATGCCCACGTTCTGGCCAGTGAGGGTGCTGCTTTCCCTGAGGCTCAGTGCGGGGCGCTCAGCCACGGTGAGGTGTGGCTGAGTCGGGACCCCTCTCTAACGTTATTTGGCAGATTCTAAAGCTAGCCTCTGTCAGCCTCCAGATGATGTCTTCCATTAGGGAGCGTTTACAAAACCTGCGGACACCCTCGCCACGGTCCACCAGGCCCCTCCTGCACCTTCCAGGCCGTGGGACCCGTCCTTCCTGGAACTGCCCGGGCCTGGCTGCTGCCCACCCGCTGCAGATGCCCTCTGGCCACAGCTGTGTGCCCACATGCTGCCCCTCGGCCGACTGAGGAGACAGCGGAACCCGCTCCATGGGTCCCCACGACCACATGGACCCTCAGAGCCCAGGTCCTCTCCAGGAAGCCTCCGTCCATGCCATCCCCTGCCCTGCCACGCCTGCAGTGGACCCGTTCTCTTACAGGTCTGTTGGTATAAAGGGGCCACCAGAGGCCAGTGCACTGACAGTGCCTTGCCCAGCCTTGCGGCAACGGGGACCCTCGTCCCCTAGACAGCCGAGGCTGCTGGGCAGCTGAGGTGCCCAGTGCACAGACAGGCTGTGCGTGGTGGCCTGAGCTCCCCGGCACACCCTTCCCACCCAGGTCCGCACTCCCTGGCACCCACCGTGACCCTGCTGTCACGGGGCTCCCCGCAGTCCTCTCCTTGCCCGCTCCAGCGGAGTGCTGCAAGGCAGGACGGCTGGCTGCGGCCCCCGCGGGGGCTTCCTCTCCTCTCCCTGGTGGCCTGGGGCCGGGCACACAACGTTGCTGAAGGCCCCACCCAGCTCGTCCCTTCACAGAAGCCTCCAGACGGACGGGCACCACCCTCGGCCCATGTTTTCTGGGGAGCTGGGTGCACAGGCCCGGTGCTCCGTGCCAGGAGCCCCACCCACCGGGCCTGAAGTCCCAGGGCAAAGGCACTGGGCCCGGGGGGTTGCAGAGCCTTGGTCTGACAGCACAGGAAGTCCTCAGCCAGAGGGTGAGGCCAAGCGCACAGCAACAGGAATGTGTTTAAGGCTGCACACTGGACACTTAAAAATGGTTCTGGTGATAAATTTTATGTTCATGTGTTTTACCACAGTAAGCTTTTTAAGTAAAAATAAGGAAAAGGCTTTGTTTTGTAGTACTGTACACCAAACCCAGGGGCTTGTGCGTACTGGCTACACGCTCTACAACCGAGCCCTTTTCATTTTTATTTCAGGACAGGGTCTCACTAACTTGCCCTGGCTGGGTTCACACTTGGGATCCTCTTGCCTCAGCCTCCCAAGTACTGTACCTAGGATTACAGACATGCACCACCCTACCCGGCCGGTAACACTACTGAAGTTTTAAGACAGCGTGTCTCGTCACTCCACCTCAGTGGCTCTAAACAGGGGTGCCCAGCCTGCAGATCAGGGGCACGGGTGCGTGTGGGACTGAGTGACTGACTTGTCCTCCTCTTCTGTGCTCACCAAACTTTGCTAACTGCCCACCCGCACAGCCCTACTCATGCCAGTCTGCTGCCCTGCCAGGCTCCTCCACCCTCGGCCGCACGCGCAGCCATCCCTGCACACCCACTGCCTGGGTGCCATGGCTGGTGACCCACTTGTCCCACTAACAAGAGCCCTGTGCCTGGGTGAGGAGGGAAGGGGACCATCTCTCATGCCCCTGGGGCCCCAGCACCCCCAGCCTTCAAGGCACTGCTCGGCCCGCTGCCCTGGACGAGGCAGGCATCCCAAAAAGGCCTGGTGCAGCTTCCAGTTCCGTCCCTGACTTCAGCACCCACGAGTGTCTCCCCACTCTTACCAGGGGAGGATGGGACACATCGGCCAGCTTGAGCTCCAGGCCCGGCTCCTGGGGTGGGGACCAGCTCCAAGCCCTGCCTCCACGGGGCAAGCTGGCCTCTGCACAGCCACGCACACCGCTGTCTCCCGCAGCACTCCGCCTGTCGGCCCCCTCCTGCCCCTCCCACCAAGCAGAATCTGCCACCCACAGCACTGCAGGTCACACACCTGTCAGCCCTCGCGGCGTCTGAGCACAGGGGCCGCTTGCCACGGGCACCAAGTGGGCCCAGCCAGCGTGAACCAAGGAACACCCACCTCAGCACCCCCAATGCCAACTACCAGCCAGAAAGGCATGCCACCCTCACAACAGCCGCCCCAGGCACCAGCCTGCACTTCAGTGGGCTCATCGCGCCGAGTTCACCTCATCGCCACGGCCACCCTGCACCCCTGCAGGAGCTGGCCTTTCCACACCGCATCCTGCCGCAAAAAACAGCTCCATGAAAAACAATGGTCCCTCTACTGAAGTCTCAAATTGCTGGGGGCCTAGTGCCACACACCTGTAATCTCAGCACTCAGGAGGCTGAGGCCAGGGGATCCCGTGGGTTCAAGGACAACCTGATTGTTAAACTCACTCTCAAAAAAAAAAGACATCTCAAACTATCTTAAGACACTGCACTTCTGTTGTGTATCCCAGATCTGTGTCCTCCTGCTCCGAGGCACTGCAGGTGGGCAGCCTGGAGCCCTCAATGCCCCGAGGACCTGACCCGTGCCTGGGTCACTGTGTGCTGGCCAGATCTCCCCCTCGTTGCCAAGTTCTCACCCCATGGCCCCTGCCTCTCACTGTAAAACCGTGCAGGCCCACATGTGCAGCCCTGGCACCATGGCCAACACCCTAGTTACATCCTGTTCCCTCTTGGGCCCGCGCCTCAGCCTGGCACAGCGTGTGATCGCAGCGTTGCCAATTTCAGCACTCTGCTCCCATGCATCCCACACCCAGCAGTGCCACCCCAAAGCCATCTGTCACCACTGCCTTCTGACATCAGAACTAAGCAGGTCTCCTGCCATCACTGTCACCAGTGCCCATGTCTGTCCAGTCTCTGACCTTTTCCCCCGGGTAAGAAGCAGACACGCTCTTACCCAGCTAGGCTGAGACCCAGTTGCTGCCATCGAGCCTGGCCCTGTCACAGGCAGTGCTGTGCACTCCTGGACAAGCAGCTTAGAGTCCTGTAGACCAAGCACCCACCCCACGGGCCCCTGCAGACCACAGATGCATCCAGGAGGAGCCTGGCACATAGCGCTGCAGGCTGCACCGTGCTAAGCAGCTACTTCCGTGCAGGAGCAGAGTTCTATGCACACCCACACTGGGGAAAGCCTCAGCAGAGGAAGCTAAAGCCAGAGGGTAAAGCAACCGGCCCGGAATGGCACAACCAGAGAGACAGCAGAGGCTCCTCCTGGTGTGCAGGGGCGCCACCTCGGCTGGTCCTGAACCTCAGATCAGGAGGGACCAGGGCCCTGCCCTCCCGTGCTCTAAGGGTTCCCAGTCTCCAAGGCCTTTTCCCCTGGGGCCCAGGCTCCCTGCTAAGAGGCTCGATGGCTCTAGTCAGAATCTACATTTTCACAAGCACCGTGGGTGGTAAGAGTGCAAAGTACTGCTTTAACAAACCCCTCCCACACCAGCCCAGCTTCTCACTAGACACCCTCCGCGTTTCAGGTCCAGGTGTTGGGTTCTGTGTACTTTCCACAGTGTGGCAGTGAGGCAGTGTAGATAATGTGGTATCCGGCAGGCACAGATCCTGCAGCCAAACCAGTCCATCTCAAACCTCCTGCCCAGGGTGCTGGGAAGACGTCAAGAGACAGAGACAGCTCAGCGCAGTGCCCGCGCTCGGCATTCCTCTGCCCCGCCAGCTATTTTCAACTGCTACTGTGGAGATAAGCCTAAAAGAACGAGGTGGGGAAGGGAAGTCTGACCACTGATGTCAGGCAGAGAGATCAGTCACGAGCCATGCCTGGGGGAAGAGGATTCCAGGCAGAAGGAATGAAAGATGAGACTAAGGCCTTGTAGGTCCAAGATTAATCTAAGTAGACTTGCAGGCCACCGAGGGCCCACAAGAAGTGATGGACGTTTTAAAGAGTCACTGTGATTATGGGTTGTAGGAGACAGAGATGAAGTGGGAAGAGTGATCACAAGTGGTCAAGCAAGGTCACGGCCCGCCTGCACTAAGCTCACAGGCAGTGGCTGGATCCCACACATTCTGAAGAGAGGGCGGCTGCTGCTGCTGCTGCTGAGGCTGCTGCTGCTGCTGCTGCTGTTGCTGCTGCTGCACTGATGCACAAGGCAGCTTTTCAGGATGGCTCCTGGTGTGCAGCCTGAGCCCTGTGGTGTAACACTGGGTCACCGTGGACATCTGAGAAGGCAGCTTGACATGGAAGGCAGAAGTGCGTGCACACATATAATACTTGAAGCTCCCAGGAGGCAAGGATGAGGGCTTCTCTCCTTCAGAGCCCTTCACCTTTGTCTGATCTGCACGAGGCAGACACCTGACAGGCATTAACAAGCAGCACTCGCAGAAAAAGCCAGGCAGAGGCTTTTGCAGGATGGTGATCACAATGTTGCAGATTAGGTAAGAATTGGTAGAGCTGCATCTGCCCTAAGGAGTTGGGAAGAGACTAAAGCTCCCTGGCTGCAGAGTGGTCCCCCAAGGCTGCTCTCTATGAAGAGTAAAGCAAAGGAAATTAAAGCAGCCCAAGTTGGGAGGGGGGTGGAGCACTGCTGGAGAAGTGGCAGCAGGTGACAACCCTGGGATCCAGCCGTACCTGAGGAAACGACAGAAAGACAAGATCCAGTCTCACTTCTCTGCATGTCAGAAAGTCTGCAGCTGGTCACGTGCCCTGATGGTTATGGTGAGCACAACACAGATGAAGAACGGAAAAAGAGCTCTTTGGAGACCCCTGGAGAACCACCTGCTTCCCTCTCCCAGAGAGGGCCTGACACATTACCTGGCTGGCGGACACAAGTCCAGTCCGGCCGGCCTTTCTCCCAGCCCACTGTCCCTACAGAAACCTTCTGACAGATGAGGAGAGGGCCCAGGACCTAGGCTTCCTCGAGCAAGCGTCTTTGTTCACTACATGCCGGTCACTCAACTCACTTTGTCCTGGGTGTTGCGGCCACCTGCAGGGAACCTGGCGCAGGGCTCCCGCAGCCAGCTCCAGAAGGCACCCAGGGCCCAGGGTACAGACGAGGCTCCCAGGAGCCGGCAGGGCATCGCAGGGCCCTGCCGTCTCACACTGGGCTCCACCAAGGCGAGTCCCGCTCACTGCCCGCACCCCGCCCGCCTGCACGCACCTGCACCTGGGCGCCCGCCCCGCCACCCGGCTCCGCAGCGCCGCTGCCCCCAGCCCAGGTTCAAGGCCCAGCCGCGCTCACCCAGTTCCCGAAGCCGAACTGCTCGATGGCGTCCAGCAGCAGCTGCTCCTCGCGGCTGGTCCAGCCGCCCTCGGCCTCGGGTCCCCAGAGCGTGAAGCGCCCTCCGTCCACCAGCTGGTAGCCATGGTAGCGTCGGTGGTGACCGATCTCGGCGCCGGCCGAGAAGCACTCGGGGCACAGCTCGATGTCCTGGCACTCGGTGCAGCGGAAGCGCAGCGGGCTCACCTCGGCCAGGCAGTACACGCAGTACTTCTTGCCCAGCTCCGCCATCTTCCCCCGCTCCCCCGCCGCCCG